CCGCACCACATAAGCAAAAAGTAAAAAGCCGGAAGTAACGCTGTGGCTCACGTGGTAGAGTGCTAGTCTTGAGCTGAAGAGCTGAGGGACAGCGCCCAGGCCCAGAGTTCAGGCCCCATGACTGGACCCAAAAAAAAAAAAAAAAAGAAAGAAAGAAAGCAAGCTACACTGGGGGGCTGGTTGCTTGGAAGTTGGCGATCAGGATTGCAATTTGAGGTCAGACTGGGAAAACATTTGTGAAATTCCATCTCAACAAATGGTTAGATGCTGTGATATACACCTGTCATCCCAGTTACGTGGGAACTTGAGATGGGGATGATTGTAGTTGCAGGCCTGGACCAAAAAAAAAACATATATCAAAAGAACCAATCTCAACAGAATGAGCTGGCTATGGTGGCATGTATCCACTATCCCAGCTATGGCAGAAAGCATACAGGAGGATTGTGGTTCAGGCCAGCTGTGCAACAGCAAGATCCTATCTCAGAAGTAACCAGAGCGAAAATGGCTGGAGGCATGATTGAGGCATTAGAGCACCTGCTTAACAGCTGACAAGTCTTTAGTTTAAACCCAGTACTGCCCAAAACAAAACAAAACAGAAACCCAAGCTAGGCATGTTGGCATGTGCCTGTATCCGCAGCTATATAGGAGGTAGATGTAGGGCAGTGGATGCGACTCTGGTAGGCAAAAAGCACTAGACCATACCTAATGCAAAATTTGCTGGAAGTGTGGCTCAAATGGTGGAGAGCTTGCCTGTCAAGTGTTAAGGTCCTAAGTTCAAATTTTAGTACTCAAAACAAAATTCCCAAACCCTAGAAATGCCTTGTATTCCTTATCCATTTTCTACTATTCATAGCATCTTACAATCCTACAATCAGAACCAGAATATTAAATCTTACAATCAGAACCAGAATATTAAATTGACATAGTTATGATACAGAACATTTCATTTCCTTCTTTCCTTCCTTGCTTGCTTCCTTCCTTCCTCCCCCCTCTCTCTCTTTCTCTCTCTCTCTTTCTTCTTTTTTCTTTTCTTTCTCTCTTTCTTTTTCTCTCTCTCTTTCTTTCTCTCTCTCTCTTTTCTTCCATCCTTCATTTTTCCTTTTTTCTTCCTCTCTTCCTCTCTCTTTCTCCCCGTTTCTTTCACTTTCACTTTCTTTAGGATTTGAACTCAGTGCTTGCTCAGCTTTTTAGCTAATGCCTCACCCCAAATGTCAGTCATCCTAAATGTCACTCATACTGCCTTTTTACTGCCCCACTGGCTTTCTTTTCTTTCCTACCCACTTCTAGTCCCTGATAACAGTAATCTGTTGTTTATCTCTGTAATTTTGTTATGTCAAGTTACATAAGTAGAATCATATAGTGTGTTACCATTTGGGATTAGCTACTTTCATTCAGCACAGTACTGTGGAGATTTGTTTATGATGATGAATGTGTCACTAGTTTATTTGTTTCAATTGTTGAGTTGTACTCCATGTATGGTTATGTCCATTGAAGACATCTGGCTTGTATGTGGTTTTTGCTTATTATGAATAAAGCTGTTGTAAATATTCATATGCAGGGTTTGTGTAGGCATGAGATTTCATTTGTGTGGGATGAATGCCCAGCACTGCAATTGCTGGTTTATGTGATAGTTATATGTTTAGTTTTTCAAGAAACTGTCAATTTGTGTTTCAGAGCAGTGGCTATTCTACTTTGATAGTGTTCCCAGTCTCAAATAAACATTTGAACCTCTAGTTTTTCTCAATGGAAAACTTTGTTTTGAGATAGAGGTGCATTTGTCAAGTAAGTTTGTAATTTTTTGTCCAGATGAATAAATTTCAGTATTAGAAAAGTTTCTAAGAAAATGCCAAATATAGATTGCTCATTGTCTTTTTTGTGATAGTTATAACAGGCATGTGTTTAGACGACAAGAGCAAAAAGATTTTACATATAGATGTCTGAAGGTGAATTTGTACATATTATGATACATTCTGGATCCTAATCATAATCTAATAAGCTTCACCCTCCCTTTATTTATACAGCCATTTATATTATTACTATATAACCCAAAATGGTTAGCTTATAACATGAATAACAAAAATTTTGACCATTGGAATGTTTTATTTAAACAATATACTTATTATATTTTGGTATGTGTTTCTGGTTTGGAAAATGCAGAAAATCAGGAAGAAGTTATCTGTACTTTTACCATTTGTAATTATAAAAATTTTAGTCTTTTTAAAATTTTTCTTTTCCAATGTAATGCATAAATATATAAACAGATGCCGTATATCCTCCATGCTATGTGACATATTTTAAAGTTGGAGACATGTTTTTGTGCCATACTTCTCTTGTTTATATTAGTAAAGCATTTTGGGGATTTATTTCTACTTTTTGACTTGCCTTTTGGTTATACGTTCATTACAGTGGGTTGGCATATAGACAGCTCTACTTAAATTGTTGGTAGTGAAATACTTGGTGAGTTATGATGTTGTGTTTTGGCTGTGATACTTACCCATTCCTTAATTATTTTAATTAGAGACTTTGAAGATGTTGTCATTTGGATAAACAAATACATAGAACTAGTTTACCATTGTCTTTTCTATATTTGTCTTTATTTTCATCAGTAAATATTTACAATGCATTGTATAGGGATATTAAATATGTCATGATTCTGGCTTTTTATGTTTATAATTGTAAAAATAATGTACAGAGGGGTTACAGTTACACTAGTGAGGTAATGAGTATATTTCCTATCAGCATTGTTACCTACTCCTTTGTTTTTCCCCCTACCATCCCTTCACTCCCCACATCCCCATCCCATCCCCCCACCCCAAGTTGTAAAGTTCGTTTTCAACATAGTGTCTTGTACATCTCATTGTTACAATGGGTCAACTTGTATCCTTATTCCAGCATTTTGTTATTTCCCTTCCCCTCCCCCAATTAGAAAAATGTATATACAAGATGCAGGGCACTGAAATCAAATACAGTGAAAACGGGTTATACCATGGGGGAAGAACATACAAAAGAAACAAAAAAATCACATAATACATTTTAAAATTTAAATGTTAAAAACAATAGCGAGAAAGAAAAAAACACTTGTGTCCCAATCTTGGGGTTCATTTCACTAAACATCATCTTATATGGTCATATTTACATAGCTTTTGACCTTTTCTGCTTGACGTAGACTTATACTAGTTATTGAAAATAAGGGAAACCATGGGACTTACGTTTCTTTGGGTCTGGCTTACTTCACTTAATATAATTTTTTCCAAGTTTTTCTATTTCCTAAGAAATGTGGCAATGTCATTCTTTCTGATGGAGGCATAGAATTCCTGTGTGTGTGTGTGTGTGTGTGTGTGTGTGTGTGTGTGTGTGTATAGATATTTATATATGTCTATGTATATACCACATTTTCTTGATGCATTCATCTACTGAGGGGTATCTGGGATGGATCCATATCTTAGCTATGGAAAATAATGCTGCGATAAACATAGTTGTGCTGGTAGCTTTAGTGTGGCCTTGTTTGTGAGCGTTTGGGTAAATGCCTAAAAGTGGGATTGCTTGGTCATAGGGGCGCTCTATGTGCAGTCTTTTGAGGAACTTCCATACTGCTTTCAAAAGTGGTTGAACAAGTTTACACTCCCACCAACTATGTACTAGGGTTCCCTTTTGGCCACATCTCTGCCAGCATCTGTTATTAGTAGATTTCTTGATTCTAGCCATTCTAACTGGTGTGAGGTGGAATCTCAATGTTGTTTTGATTTGCATTTCTTTTCCTTCCTTCCTTCCTTCCTTCCTTCCTTCCTTCCTTCCTTCCTTCCTTTCTTTCTTTCTTTCTTTCTTTCTTTCTTTCTTTCTTTCTTTCTTTCTTTCTTTCTTTCTTTCTTTCTTTCTTTCTTTCTTTCTTTTTTTGTGCCACTCGTGGGGCCTGAACTCTGGGCCTGGGTGCTGTCCCTCAGCTCAAGGCTAGCGCTCTACCACTTGAGCCACAGCGCCACTTCCGGCTTTTTCTGCTTATGTGCTGAAGAATTGAACCTTGGGCCTCATGCATTCAAGGCAAGCACTCTATCACTGAGCCACCTTCCCTGATTTGTATTTCTTTTATGGCTTAGAGAAGTTGAGAATTTCTTCATGTGTCTATTCGCCATTCTTACTTCCTCTTCAGATAAGTTTCTCTTTAAGTCTTTAGCCCACTTATTTATCGAGCAGTTGTTTCTTTGAGGATTTGTAGTTGGGGATTTAATTTTTTGAGTTCTAAGTATATTTTAGATATGAGAACCTTGTCTCTTGTATGGCTAGTGAAGTTCTTCTCCCAATCCGTAGGCTCTCTATTGATGTTGCTAGCTATGCAGAAACTCTGCAGTTTCATGTAATCCCATTTGTTCAACTTTTCTTTGATTTGTTGTGTTTCTGGGTCTTTATTAAGAAAATTTTGACCTGTGCCAAGGAACCCTAGGGTATCTCTTATTTCTTCCTATAATCTTTTCAGGGTGTCTGCTTTTATTTCAAGGTCTTTGATCCATTTGGAGTTGATTCTGATGCAGGGTGATATATACAGATCTAGCTTTAGTTTTCTTTTTCTTTTTTTTTTTTTTACTTGTGTTGAAAACCTTTGTTCTTAAAGCAGAATATTGATGATAGTAATAGTTCTATTTGTTTTAAGAGGGATCTTTAATAGAGTCTTTGATCCCTTTTTTCTGGTATTGGGGATTAAAAGCAGGGCATGCCTACAACTGAGCTATACCCCCTATTCCTCTTATCCCCTTTTAAAATGGATGCACAGAATGGTGTTTCCACCTAGATCAAAGCTGAGTACTTTCTCATCATTTTAATAGTATTTTAGGCAAGTCCTATGAAAATTATACCAGTAAATTTCCTCAACCTCCACCACCAGCCCTACCATCCCCATGATTGGCTTGTCTATACTCCCTTTACTCTTTCCTCTACTATTATCTTGGTATTTCTGCTTACAGTTGAAAGTAAAAAGCAATTCCAGATTACAGCAAACTCAATGACCCTGCTCCATAACCTGGCCACTGCTGAAAGCAGGAAAGTAGGGGAAGCTTGAAGGAAAGTCTTGGATTGTGATCAGGCACTACCAGAAGCTTGTGTTTCAAAAACAGGCTCTTGGACTTGTTTCCTGCAGGTAAATCTTCACTGGCTTGAGGAACTGGAAAGCCTATTTCACAAACACCACAGTGTTTGGATTTCTAGAGGCCACCCAGGCTAAGAAGACATCCCTGCAGTGTTTCACTACACACTCATTGCTGCAGTATTCATTGTCCCAGTCCTTACTCACAACAGGAGGGTTCTCGCAACCAGACCTTACACATCGAGGCTGTGGTGAAAGTGTCACAGGAGACCCACTGACCAATTCAACATCCGTCTGAGATTGTCTCACAATCCTCATAGATTGTCTCAGGAGAGGTTGCCTCCACTGTGTGGGCTTCAGGGCTGTTGTTCATAAGCCACTCAGGACTGTTTTCTACAGCTGGAGGGACCAAGGTAGTCTGTATTTTCAGAGTGGGTGGAGGTACAATCTTGCTTTGCAGAGGTGGTGGCTGTTGCTGTAAGTGATTTGGACTTTTTGAGGAGGAGGCTGTTGCATGGCCTGAAGTGGAGGAGGCTGCTGCAGAATAATGGTAACTTGCTGCTGAGTTGGGGGCTGAGGCATCTGTTGTAATGGAGGGGGTTGTAGTCTGGGTGGGGGCAGTTGCGTAGAAGCAGCAGCAGAAGCTGCAGCCTGCAACACTGACCTAGTGACAATCTGGGCTTGTTGGCTGGGCTGGATGGTAGCTATACTTGTTTGGTCTAATTGGAGCCCCCGGGAGGTCACCGCTGTGGCTGGGATAACAGTAACCATCCTTCCTTGAGTAATAGAAGAGGGCAACATCTGTTTGGTAATAATCAATTTGGTAATATTGGGCTGACCCCCAGGCCCAGAAGATGCCTGGTTTGCTACATAGGATGAAAGAGTAGAGTTAACAACAATGCAAGGGGACAGGGCAGGGGACTCGGATGAGGCTGGTGCTGGAGATGCTGGGTCAGTCAACAGCAGCCACAGGAGATGGCGAAGGAGTCTGCAATGGTGGCACCGGATCCAATTCTACTGTTTCCACAGTGGCCTGACATTCTTGGTTATCTTTATATGCAGCTAGGGCCTTAAGATACTCTTTCTTGGCAGCTTCAGTTTTCCTCTTATACACCTGTTTTTGTTCCTCTCCAAGACTATCCCACATAGAAGCCACAATCTTTGAAACCTCTTCAAATGTGGCATTAGGATTCTGTCCCTTGATGGCTGCCTGTGTATCACGAAAGAATAAAGCATATGCTGAAACTGGTTTCTGAGGCTCATTAGGGTCTTTCTTTTTCTTCTTCTTTGGGGCCTGCTGCTTTTTCCCTGCTTCCACTACCACGGTCTTCTGGGTGGGAAGTTGCCTCCAGAAATCCTCAACACCATTCTCATGAAGTGAATTAGTAGGTGAAGGGGTGGTTGAAAGACGATCCTCAGGTGACTGGGCAGGGGGCAAGATGGTATCACTCCCTAAGCTTAAACCAAGTTGAGAACTCAGTTCTGATTGATCAATTGTAGTCAATTGGCTATGCCCCATCAAGCCTGAGGTCATGTCTCATCGGTACACCAATTGTAACAAGTGGGTTGGCACTGTACTGAGTTCCTATGGAATGGTCCAAATCTATGGTCAAGCCCCCACTCAGGAGCGGCCCCCCCCCCCATGCCCTGCTCCATCAAGCCATGAGTCATGCCCACAGGCATGTCCAATGTCTGGACTACATATTGAGCTGAAAAACTGCCATCCTGTGAGGAGGAAGGGTCTGCCAGGTCATCAAAGTGGCCAATGACATCAGAGACAGCCAGTGGCAAATCAGAATCCAAGGAGATAGGTGGGATTTCAAATTCCTCATCACCTAAGCTTGGTGTATGGAATGTCTCGGCCCCGACAGGAAAGGGTGCGAAGGACCTGTGATTGTCAGGTTATTGTCATTTCCTCCAGGAAACTCCATCTTCACACAACCGCTACCATCGTCCCAGTGCCTAGCTTTAGTTTCCTACTGGTGTTTAACCCATTTTGCCAGCACCATTTACTGAAAAGGCTGTCTTTTTTTCCATTCTATTTTTTTAGCTCCCTTGTCAAAGATTAGGTGCCTATAGTTTTGTGGGTTCATTTCTGGGTCTTCAGTCCTATTCCATTGGTGCTCAAGTCTGTTCTTGTGACAGTACCAGGCTGTTTTCATTACTGTGGCTTTGTAGTAGATTTTGAAATATAGAATTGATATTCCTCCAGCGCTGTTCTTTCTGCTAAGGATTGTTTTTGCTATTCAGGGTCTTTTATTGTTCCATATGAGTTTTTGGATTGCTTCTTCTATTTCATTGAAGAATGAGGTTGGGATAGGTATCACATTGAATTTGTACATAGCCTTTGGTAGTATTGCCATCTTCAGGATGTTAATCTTCTCAATCTAGGAGCATGGGAGATTGTTCCACTTCATGTGTTCTGCTTTAATTTCCTTACTTAGGCTTTTAAAGTTTTCATCATAGAGATCTTTTGGTATTTTATTTTTTTGAGGTATTTTATTTTTTTGGAGTTATTACAAAAGGAGGTGCTTTCCTGATTTCAGTTGCGCTCTTCTCATTGTTGGCATACAGAAAAGCCATTGATTTTCAAGGGTTAATTTTATGCCCTGCTACTTTGCCAAAGTTTCAAATCAGCTTGAGTAATTTGGGAGTGGAATCCATGGGATTCTTTAAATCAAGATCATGTCATCTGCAAAGGAGGGAGTTTTACTCCATCTTTCCCTATTTGGATCCCCTTTATGTTTGCATTTTGTGTTATTACTCTAGCTAGGTATTCTAATACTAAAGTGGAGAGAAGTGGAGAGAGTAGACATTCTTGTCTTGTTCCTGAGTTTAGAGGAAATGGCTTTAGTTTTTCACCATTAAGTATAATGCTGGCTGTAGGTTTGTCATATGCAGCCTTTATTATATTGAGGAATGTTCCATGGATTCCTAGTGTTTTCAGCGCCTTCATCATAAAGCAGTGTTGGATCTTATCAAATGCTTTTTCTGCATCTATTGAGATAATCATGTGGTTCCTATTTTTGATATTGTTGATGTGGTGAATTATATTAACTGATTTGCATGTATTGATCCAGCTTTGCATCCCTGAAATGAATCCTGTTTGATCATGGTGTATGATTTTTTTTTTGATGATTTGTTGAAGTTGACTGGAAAAAATTTTGTTGAGAAGTTTTCCATCGATTTCATCAAAGAAATGGGTCTATAGTTCTCTTTCTTTGATGAGTCCCTGCCTGGTTTTGAGATGAGGGTTACAATGGCTTCATAGAAAGAGTTCGGTAGTGAACTTTCAGTTTCATTGAAGAGTTGGAGGAGTATTGGTGTGAGTTCTGCTTTGAAAGCCTTGTAGAATTCCACTGTAAATCCATCCAGTCTTGGGCTTTTCTTAGATGGGAGGTCTCTTATTGATGTTGCTATTTCCGTGCTTGATATGGGTCTGTTAAGTTGGTTTAGCTCATCTTGGTTCAGTTTTGGCATGTCAATATTTGCTACAAAATAGTCCATTTCTTCCAGATTTTCAAATTTATTAGCATAAAGTTTTGAGAAGTATTCCCTTATAATGTTCTGAATCTTGGTAGTTTCTGTGGTGATGTTTCCATTCTCATCTCTGAGTTTGTTTATTTGGGTGCGTTGTCTTTTTTTTTCCTGATAAGATATGCTAAGGGTCTGTCAATTTTGTGAATTTTTTCAAAGAACCAACTCTTTGTTTTATTGGTTCTTACTATGTTTTTTTTATTCTAATTCATTTAATTTTAATTATTTGTTTCTGTCTACTGGATTGGAGTTTAGCTTGTTGCTTTTTCAAGATGCTTTAGATGTGTCATTAAATTGTTGGTTTCAGATCTCTACAATTTGTTGATATAGGAACTCAGCTGTAAACTTGCCTCTGAGTACTGTCTTTGCTGTGTCCCAGAGGAGCTGGTAATTTGTGTGTTCATTTTTGTTGAATATCATGAACATTTGAATTTCCTTTCTAATCTCTTCTAGGACCCACAGGTGATTCAACAGTGTGTTGTTCAGCCTCTATGTGTTACAGGATTTTCTTTGGTGGCTTTTGTTGTTGAGTTCTAATTTTATTCTCTTGTGGTCTGAGAGAATGCAGGGGATAATTTCAATGTTTCTGAAATTGGAGAAATTTGCTTTGTGACCTAGAATGTGGTCTATTTTGGAGAATGTTCCATGTGCTGCTGAGAACAACATGTATTCTGATGCTGCTGGAGGAAATACTTAGTAGATGTCTGTTATTTCTAGTTGATCTATGCAGTTGTTTAGATAGGAGATTTCTGTATTGAGTTTTTGCTGGGTTGATGTATCCAGCAGGGATGGTGGTGTGTTAAAGTCCCCAACAATTATTGTCTTTGGATCTATGTAAGATTTGAGGGAAAGTAGTGTTTCTTGGATAAATTTGGGTGCTTCATTATTTGGTGAATAGATATTTAGAATTGTAATATCTGAAGAAGAGATCCCTTAATTAGTATGTAATGACCTTATCTCTTCTGGCTAATTTTAATTTGAAGTCTATTTTGTTTGATATTAGGATTGTACTTCTGGCCTGTTTATGGGGGCCATTTGCTTGGAAGATTTTATTCCAGCCTTTTACTTTCAGATTATGTTTGTTTTTATGGGCAAGGTATATCTCTTGAAGGCAGCAGATAGACGGATCTTGCTTTTTGATCCAGCTAGACAATCTGTGTCACTTAATTGGAGAGTTAAGTCCATTAATATTGGGAGTTAGGACTGAGAGGTGTTTGGGAGTTCCTGCCATGGTATACACCTTCTTGGGAGGCTGTGCCAATAATTCTTGTATTCTCTGTTTGGGGGTTGTTTCTTGGCCTTTGTTGTGCTCTTGTTAGTTTTCTTTTTTTTTTTTTTTTTTGTTGGTCGTGGGGCTTGAACTCTGGGCCTGGGCGCTGTCCCTCGGTTTTCTGGTGGTTTATTGGAGATAAGAGTCTCACGGTCTCTCCTGCCCGGTCTCTCCTGCCCGGGCTGGCTTTGAACTGCGATCCTCAGATCTCAGCCTCCTGAGTAGCTAGGATTACAGGCGTGAGCCACCAGCGCCCGGCAAAGTTTTCTATGTGTAGGGCATCTTAAGTATCTTTTTTTTTTTTTTTTTTGCATCTTAAGTATCTTTTGTAGGGCTGGTTAGGTGGAGATACATTTTTGTTTTTTGTTTTGCTATGGAAGGTTTTTATTTGACCTTTCATTATGAAGGAGAGTTTAGCTGGTATGGTATTCTTGGTTGATAGTTTTTTGTCTTTAGGGCGTTGCATACATCATTTTCAGGCTCTTGCTTTAATTGTCTCTGCTGAGAAATCTGAAGTTATTCTGATTGGTTTCCCTTTATAGGTGATTGATATTTTGTCCTTGACAGCTTTAAGGATCCTTTCCTCTGTGTGAATTCATCTTGTGCAGATTATAATGTGACGGTGGGATGTCCTGTTCTGGTCTGTTCTATTTGGGGTTCTAAATGATTCTTGTATCTGAATAGGCCTATCTTTTTGCATTTTTGGGAAGTTCTTTGCTAGAATCCTGTTAAATAAATTTCCTAGACCATTAACTTTTGTCTCTAGATGCTCTTCTACATCCATTATCCTCAGATTAGGCCTTCTGATAGTGTTCTAAATGTTGAATAGATCTACTATATTTCTTAGATTGTTGTGAATGGCTGTCTGTTATTTCTCTATAATATCTAGGCTGTTTTCAATCCCAGGGATTTGATCTTCTATTTCATCTAACCTACTCTCAAGACTTTCTACTTTGTTTTTTATTTCCTTTCCTCTGATTAGTCAGCTTTGATGGTTTGTTGGTTGATGGTTTGGTTTGTTGGAGCTTTGTTTAAATATTGCATGGACTAATTTACTTCCTTAATTTGGTTTTCTGTGTTCATTCTCAAATCCCGTAGTTGATTGGTTATGGTTTCCTTGGACTCCCTTTCCTTCTGATGGGCTCCATTCAGGATTCCCTTTGTGGCCTCCCTGGTTCCTTCAGCTGTCTTTTTGTGGATCCATGAATGCGTCCATTAATCTTTGTCTATTCTCATCCCGCTTATGCAATTCCTGTATTATTCTTTGATTAGCTTCCTCAAGCTCATGAAATTCCCGTATTAGTCTTTGTCTATTTTCATCCTGCTCACACAAGTCCTGTATTAATCTTTGATTAGCTTCCTCATGCTCACGAAATTCCTATATCAGTCTTTGGTTAGCCTCATCATCTTCACCCTTTTCTCTGTCCCACTCACGCATTTCCCTATAATGCTCACAGAGTCCTTTGCAGGTTTTCAGTCTTTTCATTCTGCATATTTATTAGTAGTGTTTGTAGAGCATGTTGGGAACTCTCCTCTGTATTATTCATTAAGTTCTCTGTCACTTGATTATCATGAGTGGGAGTTGAGATACCTGGACTTGCCATTTTTCTTGTGTTTCTCCGGCTTGTTCTGCCCATTTGGTATGAAAGCAAAATCAATTTGATGCTAGAACACTATTTTAAGGCAAGCATCAACCAGAACCCTGTTGTTGCACCGGTTGTTTGACGCAGTCAAAATGAGTACAGATAGAATCTAGTTCAATAACTACACCCTAGTTCAGCAATAAGCAACTATGGATTAATGGACTAAAAATGACAAAGAAGGAGTCAGCAGACCAGAAATGAATAGGTTTAGGGAAAATTGTGGGGAGAAAATAAGATTAGAGGAATGGGAGGAGGGAAAAAGAGAGAGGGAATTTAACCAAGACCTAAATTAAGAGAGAAGAAACAGATATGAGTTCTGGGTAAGGCAGAGATTCTTTCTATCTGCTCAGACTACCTGACTTAAGAAACCAATCAAGCCGCAGGAAAACCAAACACCACAAGCAAACCAGAGACGCAACCAAGAGACTGGTTATGGATACTGGACCCCCTCCTCCATCTCCCCCCCCAAAAAAAAATCGAAGGACTCTTTTTTCTACCTAATTTTTTT